TATGCCTTGCGATGCCTATCGTGTGCAGTCTCTCTCTCTCTCTCTCTCTCTCTCTCTCTCTCTCTCTCTCCCTATCTTACCCACCTACCTTACCCAACTACCTTAACCTTACCTACCTACCTACCTACCTACCTACCTACCTACCTACCCACCTACCCACTTACCCATCTACCTAACTACCTACCTCTATCTACCTATCTAACTATCTCTCTCTATCTGACTCTCCATCTCGATTCTTGATTCTTGATTCTCGGCGCCTGTAGGATCAAAGGCGCGACAGGTGACGTCTGGTTTACCTGAAGGAAGGGGCACTAATCACAGCCCACGGCGTTGGCGAGAGAACTCGCGGGTAATTAAATCCTGTAAGAGGTGTCGACTTGAAAATTGAAGTGGGAGGTATGAGCGTGCGAATAAAATTCCGAAATTCTCGAAAGGGGAAATTTTATAATTCTCATTTCTTCTTCTTCCTCTTTCTCTTTCTCTTCTTCTTTTTTTTCTCCCTTCTTATTCTTCTTCTTCTTCTTCTTCTTCTTCTTCTTCTTCTTCTTATTTTTATTCTTCTTATTATATCGCTTCACTTTTATTTTTCTTCTTCCTCTCCGTCTTTATTGCCTTTATTTTGTCGGTGTTGTCAGTCTAGTAAATATTTCAAAATTTCATTCGCATATATTCACATTTGGCAAAGAATTTGTTCAGCGCCATTCAATGTCCCCGGTTTAGCTTTCATGTAGTTTCATGAATTTTTATACTTATTACCACGATGCGAAAATAATATCTTTTAAATGTTTGCTTATACGTTTCTTATACCTAATAGCGAGTTGTGTCTATGGCATGCTTTTGTCAAAGTGGACTAAAGATTAGTACCTTAATTATTTAATAATCTCCGTTATTTTCGTGGCTTTTAAATGGCAAGAAAACAAAAGCGAAAGCTCGTCAAGGCAAGATCCATCATCATCACAGACTTTAAATACAAATGCGAGTGCTCAGTAACCACAAGATCATATTTTAATCGGAATAGCTTAAGTTTATGAGGCGCGCATGCGCAATTCAAACGTCTCATTGTTTTTATGATACACTGGGCGTGTACAATCTAAACTTGGCTCTCCATCCCAATTCAATTCTACTATCGTTTAAGTAATTCCGGCAAATTTGCTTTCTGCGAGTATGGGATTTTACGCAGCCGAAAACACGTGGAAGGGACGTGAAAAGATTTACTCATGAGAAATTGAGGCACCTAGTGAACGGTAATAATACATACAACAAGGGTCGAACGAGGGACTGGAGAATTCGTAAGCCCCGTTTGGAATGTTCACGAACAGGTTGCAAAAAAGAACTAACGATTAGATGGGATATACGTTCCGAAGATTCTCTCCGCGGGGGATCTGCATTATATATATATATCTGGAATTGGCCTCACGCCGCGCGTTCCACACACACACGCACATAGGCAGACGCGTGCGCAAGCATCTGTACATATGGGCACGCGCACTGTTTATCGGTCCGTCGAAGGATGCAGTTTCGTAGAATCGTTAAAAATAGCAGGGAAATAGAAAATTAATGTCCCTGTGGACGGGTCTCCTTTGTTCGGTGCAAATCTCATAGATCCTCTGTTTGTTCGTCTTCTCCGTTTATACAGAATTTTGTCCGCGTGGTTAGTCCTTTGTGTGCTTTGCAGATAAAATCGCAAAATCAAAGCTTATTATGATATAATCAAGCCACTTTATTGCATTACGTTAGAATGGGCTGCGATTCTATGACAATCGTGTGCACATATTTCGAATAATTTCTGATAATTGATTGATCTAATCGAATATATTATCAACCCAGCTCGTACTTTTCCTTCCCGTATGTTTCTAATCTATTCCGATATAATATTTGACTTTTGAATGAGTAATATGTGGTGATTATTCGTTTTTCAATCGTAAAGTAAGTCTGGCTGATTAAAAAAATGATGATTTAAAAAGAAAAACAAAACAAAACAAAACAAAAGACAACAAAAAAAAAAAAAAAAAAAATAGAAAAAAAAGATAGGAGAAAAAATCTTAATCGGTACTATGTAAAAAGGAACTTTGGTAAATATTTTCACATGTAATGTATCGAGTACATAAAATTTATTGGATTTATTCGAAACGTGATACAGTCGGTGTCGCTTATTCTATTTTATGAAATAATGTTTTAATACTTTTAATGGTATATTCACTTGCGTATTTTGACGCGCACTTGATTAAAACGATATGTGAATATGTACAAGTATTTTATATGTGCATGTGAGAATATGTAAGTTGTATTTTATTTTATGTTTTTTACAGTTGATGTAGTAGCGTCTGGTTAGAAGTAACAAGTGTGATTTAAATTTTATCAGTTCAGTTTCTGCATTATATCCATTAAATGCCAGATTATTTATTTAAACGTTTTAGCCTCTGCATTTTACTTCCTCGCAATAAATTACAACAATTTACTTTGAATATATATTTGAAAAAATAGCATATCGCCAGCTAAGTTAGTTTGATGACTGAACATTGAAATAATAGTTTACGTAAAAGTCTTCATTTACATGTAATCGTTGTATTGTGAATTATCTGACTTTAAGTTAAAGTAAATTATTAAAACACTTCTACACTCTATTTTTTTGTTTTTCACCATAAACTTCGACTGTAAATGAATCGACACGAACAAGTTAACCATTTATAAAATATAGTCGCACAAGCGTAAGTGCACAGATTATCAATGTTACACGCAAATTTTTCTGATCCCATCTCTATGCTAATTAGCCAATCAAAGGGCGTGGAACCTCTTTCATTTTGCGATGACGATGAACTTGTTCAAGAACGAACAAACTAATATTAAATATTAATATTGTAAATTGAAAAATTATCGAATTCTCTGACAATATGTTAACAACATGAATTATGCATATTTTAATGAAGTCATAAGCATATAATGACAGTTTATGCCGGGCTATTGTAAGAAACCCCTTTACTATCATAAAACTACATTTCCTTGTTATTTATTATTTTTCAATAGAGAACGTAAATATCATTGATGTATATTCTTAACGAAGCGCATTTATAATACGACATTAATGATTTGATAAATCTGAGAATTTTCAAATAAACGAATGTATATTGCATTATTAATAAGCTAGTTAAGCCATTTTTTCCCTTAATATGCAAATATTGAGATGAATTTATTTGAAGAAAATTGTACTCTTCCCTGTTGCTTATGAGATCCATGACAAGTGGGATGTGTTCTAAGGCACAGAAAAGCCGTTAATCTATATGGATGCCTGACAAGTGATCAGGGTCATTTGTTCGACTATGCTTGGTCAACTATTAATGAGTCTTAAAAATTAAATATTTGTATGCTTATATACGCGGGCGCGGGCGCGTATGACTGTTAGAACGATTAATATTAATACTAATAGAAAGGGTATCGGTATCGAATTTCTACTAATTCGTTACATGAGCAGTTCTGAGAATAGAAATCGAACATGATGATTGGAATATTCATTAGAGACGAGACTCTTAATCATTTCTTGTATGTATGCATACTTTTGCAACGGATGCATTCGGACGTTAGCACGGACATCTTCATACACATGTATCTTAACGCGTATCATTGCGAGGCTTTGATATTTCAAAGATGACGAGTAAAATGTAATTGTCTGAATAATCTTATGCGACAATAATAAAATAAAGTAAAAGTATTAATTCGATTCGATCTTTTGAAAAGAATTAATCTTATATGTGTTGATTTATTATTTTTTAGTTATCGAGACCTAATAAATGGCCGAGCAATTATGCTTGTCTTTTTAGAAGCTGTATACACGCGCACGCGCGCGCACACAAAAACACACGCATACACAAACACACAAACACACACACACACACGCACACGCACACAAACACACACACAAACACACGCACACACGCGCGCACACAAACACACGCACACACGCGCGCACACACATATATTAAAATTTAATAAGTCAGATTTGTCAAAATGCGTTGCTAATTTATCAGAGCATCAGACGTCGATTTCATTAATGTTGCTGTGAATAATTAATTGTGGTGTTCTATAATTATGAAAATATAATATACTTTTGCCTATTATATCGACTACATTGATGTGCATTGTTTGATCATATAGATGCGTGGATGTAGTTGCTTAAAATAGAGAAGCAACTTTCTCTTTATAATTTCTATATTTTAAAATTGTATAGTACGGCAGTACTTTTTGTAATACGATTGAACTGTAAAGTTCGATTCATTTTACGTTAAATATAATATTTGTCAATTATAGAATTAAGCATTCTCGTATGTCACAAAACAACTGCTTTTCATCTATTTATTTTCAAATTAAATCAAGACTACCAAAAATCCATCTTACTTTTAATTATTTTATTATCATTGAAAAATCTATCGAACGACGTTTCCATAAATACTGATAAATTTCTTAAACACTTGTCGTAGTTATCATAATTAGCTCCACGCGATTGTTTATCATCCAGACCCACGACCACTTCTAATATCAATCGAATACCCCAAATACTTTTTTATCCACATCTATAACTCAATAGAGAGACGGAAAATGGCCGTATTCTAGAGTATTATTAAAAGAAGATAATAATAGACCGGAAGCCAAATACGCATGCAAAACAGATAAAGACGACATGTAATAATACGTCTATCCAATGGGCCAATTATACGATTACAAACGTCGTAGGATTTCAATTTAACAAGATTATATCGCGCCTCCAACTATTCTCACAAATTGAAAAATTATCGCTCACTCCAAGAATAACAGCGTCGCGTAAAACCATTAGCTCACCGGCTAAAATCCTTTTTTCCCTCCCCGATTGCGCAACGCAAATTATCGCACTGCAATCGGTATTTTAAAGACTTCGATGTAATTGACGTGTAATTAGCTATTGGCCATTGTCTCATTACATGTCGTGCCAGCCGAAGACTGATATACATAATTGCAGGTTCTGTACTTACGATAGGGTGCATTGTGCTCGTTGCGTACTGTCGATTTGACCGTGCGTCCATACACGGTAACATTGCCTCTACTGCAAGTCGAGTAAAGACTCACGGAGCGCACCGTTGACGGCACCGCCCCGCACATCACCACCTACGCAACACAGAAAGTCCTCACTTTTATTATTGCAATAATTAAGCGATCGCGCTTCCTAGGACGTGACGGCTGCCATATACCATTCTCGGCGCCACCGTCCGTTGATTCGCGAGTCGACTCGAAAGATAGTGGGAGGGATGGGGACGCCGTTGCCTTATTCTGCGATTTTTCACTCGTGATAACGTGTGTGGCTGACTTCACACGGGGCCTCTTTACCTTTAATGCTTTAATCTCGACGTGCCGATAATTGTATATGTGATTATTACGAGAATTACCTTACTCCCTCGGCATCCATGGCATTAAAGTATTGCACAAAATTATTATAATTGTGATTATAGGGGAATGGGAATGGGAAAAGAATTTGGATGCGGTCGCGAGAAAGCAATTCTAATGGCTGTTTGGAAATATGTGTTGAAGCTTCATATGATAAATAGATGATAAATGAAGCTCGGGGCATAATGTAGGTGAAATGGATAGGGGCAATCGCCCGAGTTAAAGCCACAGACGCGCGTGTAATGAGGAACAATTGTCTCAGGTAATTGTGAATCGTTGCTGCCGAAGTACGCGACGATAAAAACTTAACGATAAGGTTAGCGAACGACTAAAGCCCCCGGTTTTCGAAATACCTCCCAAATGATTTCTCGCGGTCCAGATTCGCCAGCAATGTGGCCGTGGATCGATAATACGTGTCCATAAATTGCGGGGGTTCGTCGAACCGAGCGAACGACGTCGTTACGAAGGGTGGACTCGAGACATTCTCCTCGAGGCCAGCATCCGCGCGACTTTTTACGGTCCATTCGTGACAACGCGACAGATTTCGCGACAAGGACGGTCGATGCTGCCGTAACCGTCGCCGTCGCCGCCACTGCCTTCTCTCTCTCTCTCTCTCTCTCTCTCTCTCTCTCTTCCCCTTTATCTATCTCCCTCTATCTCCCTTTATCTATCTCTATCTCTATCTCTATCTCTATCTCATTGGCTCACTGTTTGACTGTTTGCCTGTGGCTGTGTGGAAGGAGTAGGGAAGTGGAGAGGAGCGTCTTTGTGTACGCGTACATCCTCTGGGTGCATAAGTGCATTATCACGTAATAATGGTGGCTTTATAGGATTATCTAAGGATATCCTCTCAATGCCTACTATATGACGAATCAGGGAATTATTTAGGGAAGATTCATTTTCATTCGGGGATAGTATCTGCAGAATGTTTTTATAAACCGAAATCAAATTTTTAGTGTAATTTTCTAAGCAATAACATAAACGATATCCTGAAATATTTATTATTTTGTTATTTGTTTTTATGGTTTGAAATGTTGTACGTTAAAATTGCGCGCAAATAGATAATTTTTCCAAAATTCAACCTAAATTTTGATAGAATTGGAATATCGTAATTATTAATTGTTGTGCACAATTATACAATTTAAATTTTTAAATAATTACTAAGCATCAACTTATTTTCATATAGATATAAAGTATTTGCAATTCTAAATTCTTATTTATCACTCGAGTTTTCTATTATTTATGAAAGCACGTGCAATCGAAAATACCATAGGGTCAGTACCCCTTTTACAAAATTGCACATACATTTTCGTTTTCTGCGTATATTGCGAATTGCATAAATGCTTATTTTTAATATGCAACGCTAGAATATTACACCCATGCATATATACACACACACACACATATATATATATATATATATATATATATATTTTTTTTTTTATATATATGTTTATATAATATTATAGTGTATGTGTGTATATTTGTGCGTGTGTGTGTAGGTGACTGGGTACCCGTGTGTATTTGTGTATTTGTGTGTGTGTGTGTGTGTACTCATGTACATGGGCGTGTGCACGCGCGTGTATATACAGTTTTATTATAACAATAATGAATTTGTATATTCTTTCAATCAACAAAATTACATATTGATAGGATAAATAATAAGCTATTATGATGCAATATCGAGTATACGAATAAATTTTCAAGTATATGAAAAATAGTTTCAAGTCTTTATTCAGATTTCGTTGAAATTATCGTATGAACGTTTTTAGTAAGTTAAAATATAAAATGTTGTAAGAGCGCGAGATTATATCAAAAAATTCTTTCATCTATAATAAAATCCGAAATGTATGAGAAAGAGAAGAAAATTCGATTGACGTCAAATGTTCACCATATTTGAGATGTCATCTGAATCTTAAAAAAAGAAAAAAGAAAAAAAAAGAAAACGAAAAGAAATTCTATAATTTATTCCAGACTTGTAGTTATATATTATATTTACTATATAGTTATATTTGTTTATCTGCAGCTACATATAGGCGAACATGCACACAAACATAGTCGTAGAAATTTTTTTATTCATGCGTATAACGGTCTGTAATTATAAATTAAAATTCAAGTTATGGATTTATTATAGGCAGTCTTGTTCATATGTATGTGTCCATTAATCGTAATGTAAAATTTGTATTTCAAATTGCCACAGTTCCGCGCCGATTTTTCCCTTAGGGTCTCGATAAAATAAACTATCCAACTGTCGCGTTGTGCTGTGAAAATCTTGATAATATATTTCACGTGTCGCTATAAGAATATTAATCATAAGAGAGTGACCGTGACTGTGTGGTTACATGGTAATGACAGCTTTCAAGTGCGTTACACTCCGACTATATATATATATATATATATATATATATATATATATATATGTAATAGATATATTGGAAATGTAAATAAAATTTTTCACAAGATAATACATACTTTTAAAAATATTCACGATTTTTAAAATTTATTTAATAATATATCAACAATAATAACAATGATAATAATAATATTTAGATAGATAGGAAAGCACACAATCTACAGAAAATGATGATATTTTAAGAATTTTCTGACATTTTCTTTGTTTAAATAGTAGTTACGACGAGATGTAATTTTTATTTTGACACGTGATTTACGTACGTTAATATGTTACTCTACGTTCGTCATATTATATTATAATTGATATAAATAAATTATAAGATAGATTTAGTACTATTTTTCAGATTATATATTAATTTTAAAGCAAATCATAGCTGATTCCATTTATTAAGTCAATTAGAAATTTGTATTATTATTTGCATTTGTTTCATTTTTTATAATATATCAATTACGAATAATTCGTATAATTTCGCGCGAATAAATCATATATAATAATTAAGTGTATAGGTAAATGACATTTTTCATCAGTAAATTAGAGTAGTATATTTCAATCAAAATTAAAAAAAAGATACACTATCTTATGAGATAAGAGGCACCGACAAAATACAATTTATGTGATTAAAAAATGAGTTTCTTTCTCTCTTCCCATAAAAAAATCGTATCGAATTTATCTGCACTATTAAATCGAAAGAGGTTCGACACTTACATTGATTAAATCATCTCGTCGTTCACGTAAACCTTCCGTTCACTGTATAATTTTGCGCATATGCGTTTCGCGACTGGCATTTTCGATCGAAGCGAGATATCGAAATTTTTCAGATCCCAATACTAGGCATACGTGACTTCCGAAAAAATTTCTTGAAAGTTAATATTATAAAAAGTAGATTAGAATGCTTTATTAGATTATTACAATTTTTTTTGTTTTTTTTTCGTTTAATAATGTTTCAGACACTTTCTTAACATGCTGCAAGAATATAATAATCGTAACAATATCAACGGCCATAACAACAATATCTATAGTAATAACAACAACAATATTAAGAGTCAGATAAAAAGCCTGAATGTGAGAATGAATGTGTTTTAAAACATCGAGAAGGCATTTAACCATTTCTTTCATTTCTTCGAATAATTATTAAAAAAATTTAATAATCTTATTTCACTTGATAAATATGACTTTATGTACTTTATAAAGAATTTATAAGTTTCCTTAACATTTTTATTAGAAATTATTTTCTATCCGTCAAACCTTTTTTAGGGAGAAAAAATAATTTTTGCTGCTTTAATAATGGGAAAACTACTAAATATCGTAAAATGTGTTTGCCTTCCACAAATCCGATTTGTGATGCACGAGGCACAATGAAAATAAATAAATTAATTTAAATGCAATAATAGCGCAATTAAGAAACATGTTTTAGAGCGTCGCATAATACGACCTTAGCCAATTACTTTATTGAAATAAAAAAATTAAATCGCATCTGAGACGCTTGAAACGTTCGATGAAAAGAGAGATATAGGAGACCCTCTATATATATATATATATATAAAAATAAATAAAAAAAAAATAAAAAATAACAAAAAAAATAAAAAAAACGTACCCTTTGTCCGCGACTGGCATACAGAAATAGAGAGCAGACAAAAAAAGAGGCAAATATAGATTCGAATCGCGCATTCAAATGAGACATATACACATTTATTCATACATCCTTGGGGGGCCTTTAAGCCGCTCTGCAACTGGCTTAAGGTAATAAACGAACGGACTTGGACGCCGATAATAAATAATTAAAACCGGGTGGCGCGCGTGCCTGCGACGATAAATTTCGGGGACATTTGTTGTGCTCCGGCAACTTGTACGGGTTTGCCTCTTTCTCCCTCCTACCCCCTCCCCCCTAGCTCCCACTCTCTCACTCTCACTCTCACGCCCTCTCTCTCTCTCTCTCTCTCTCTCTCTCTCACGCTCTCTCTCTCTCTCTCTCACGCGCACACGCGGGCGCTCTTTCGGCCTAAGACTCGATTATCGCTGAATAATGATCTAGCGATTAAATTTATATTGGTCAGAAAAACATTTTGCAATTTATCATACTTTGCGAGAAGTATTATGTCGTTACGCTGTAAATTATTCGGTAGGAGGATGAAGTTTTCTCTCTATATTCTATACTTAACGGACTTTCATAACGAACATTTTAGTCGCTTCTGCAATTCAATAATGTCGATCGAATAAAGTCATATTGCCTAATGCACTCGCAACTCATCAATCGTACAATCGGTAATTGTGTCGATTCCTTTATTTCTCACATCAAGCTCTCATCATTCTGTGGATATTGCGAGTAGTTATACATTTATATTCTTAATAAGCGAACATACAATTTAAATAATCTGAGGGGATGAGAGGAGATAATCAAGACGACGAGCTTATTGACATTTTCCGATGAATTTCGCGATATAAATTAACTAATGCGTACGAGAATAAATTATTATACGCATCCCAACACTTTGATGATTATTTTATGAATATTTTTTTACGTGATTCGATATAGAGAAATATCTAGCAGATAAATAAGCTTTTAAAATGTCGCGTCAAATACGTTTGCCATTTATTATTTATAAATTTTGTTTCTTGGGAGAAATATTCGTTCCTCGAGTGTAATCGATATTCTCAATTTTAATCTATTATTTACTGGACTAGAAATCGCGCCTAATAACAGATAAATAATAGCGGTATCGTCCTTATTTACCGTGTCATTTATTGCCAAGGAGCCAAAGATAAGTAGTCGGCCATTATCACGAAGAGAGGTTACGTTTGCTCCCGTCGCGCCGAGAGAGTCGATTAGCGAATCCGAGGGGTAAATCAAGATTAGCGAAGTTATGCGCGTAATCGCGCGGTGTCTCGAGATTAGCCAATGGCCATCCGGCACGCGAACTTCGGTCCAAGTCTCGATTAGACTGACCCGCACACCCGCCAAGGAACTACCGTGAAACGTTCGCGTAATTATTTGCTCGATTACGGGTATGTATGATCGTGGCTATCCAGCGACTCTCATGAAATGGGCTTTTCTATATCTTTATATATATATATATATATATATATTGTTTTTTTCTTTTTCATTTATTTCAACGCTTCGCAACATTTATCGATTGTTTTTTTTCTTTTTCATTTATTTCAACGCTTCGCAACATTTATCGTCGTTGAGATGCAGGAAGCCGAGAGACCTCGAGATTTACATGGGCGTGTCCATCATCCCCGATAAATCGACAGGTTTCGGGGTAATAAGAAGCTCGTCGAGTAAATTTCAGTTAATTTCAGTAAATTCGTTCGAGTCAATGTCAGCTTCGATATTATAGTCCATCCAATGTAAATATTATTTATTCTCGATAATTTATTATAAATAAATACAAAGTGTTTAATGGGCATTGAAATGGGATGTTATTGAAGGCTAATAATCGCTGCTCGTTCAATCTTTACAATCATTAATGCTCGCTATCAATTAAGACAACATTAGCGCATCGATTATAATAAACAAATGCCACTAATGCCGAACGAGCATTGGCGTGGCGTATTAATGGATTTCGGAGCGAAGGATATGCCTATTATAATAAAATTACTTTGTATAAATGGAGGACTATCGTAAATGGCGCATACAAGTACAAAGTACTCATCTACCGGCGTAAAAATCCGATGCGGCTTAGCGCGCTTACGATAGCTAATGATTTATGATTATTTATGATCATTGTATTAAAAACGAATTTCATGGGAGTGAAGAAAATTATTCAACGCGGAGAGAATAAAGGGGACTTGGATAAGGAAGCGGGAAGGAAGTGAAGCGACATCGAGTCTAAGTAAATGACGATTTTGAGTTCTCAACTTTGAGCTTATTGAATAACAGCCGTGCATGGTAATTATTCGCAAATGTTTACTCACCATCAGGAGGCACAAAATCTTCGCTAAGACGGCAAGCTGTGGTAACCTGAAACAAGTTAAAGCAACGTTTGCATTAAAATCACATGGTACAGGGCGGGCTTTATGATAAAAGGCATGGGAAACAATTTGTGATAAATAAATTACGTTGGCGCGATCAATTGAGTGTAGTGCCGTGGTGTATGGGTAATTGCAGGTAAATTTTTTAGCCTACGGAGCACATCCGTACGTTGATATTTATCGATTTTGCCATTTAATAAGCTACAGCCACGCAAGAGGAGGTGGTAGAGATTATTCAGTAGCCAACTCGACCAGAGTCACATGAGTACGATTAGCTCCAACGCAAAGGGCTCGATAATGTCGAAGCGTGATTTTAAGAAATAGCCCGAGCTCGGCTCAACTTTAACATTAATTTTAACATTAACATACTCGCACAATGTAAATTGGATAGCATCGATTAACGAGTATCGGGCGAAAACTGTGTCCAACGGTCGGTAAATTATTACCCAAACAATACTTAATATACTCCGCACTAAAAGTCAAATATCCAGGGATAATTCGCCAACGGTAGACGGGAATGACTTTAGAGATAATAGAGTGAATAAATCATCCAGACGCGTAGTAACTGCCGTAAATGTGACCGACTAATTGCATTTGCTCGATCTTCGTCTTAAATGTCCGGTACTACACCGACGCATTCACACGTAGACTCGGCTTAAAAGTTTGTTAAAGCATTAACGTCGTTAACGCGACTGGCTAATTGAAACGTCCATGGATTATAAGGCCGAGGGACATATAAAGACGTACGAGTCATGCCCTTCGTGTGAATAACATGCTCGCCTTGCCCTTCTCACGGATAAGTGTTGATTTAGACCGAATGTATAAAATAATAACCGCGGCGTGAAAGAGCGATCGTCGAGCTTCGAGTGGTGCGTGACTATGCGATGCGAGGATTGCATTATGCAGCGGGGATATACAGTTTCCGCGGGTGCGTGCGGTCGCGTATTCTTGTTACCGCGAAACGCGGCCTCGTTCACTCCTAACGGGCCGATATTGCGAATGATCGGTACTCCCGATGGATTGCGTAAGTGCTGAGTAGACCAAGACAGCCAAGACGTCGAGTTCGAGTTCATCGAGCGCTCGTTGTTTGGCCATTTTTCAGTTCATCGTGTCGATGGATATTTATTTCTCGCTGTCTCGCTGCAACGAGGGACGAGGGCGGCTTTGGGATACAGGGCTGCGCTCGCGGCAAACTTCGTCGACGGAGATGCGCCGACGTGTTTACGGTATTTCGCAAGTAGTGACGAGTGCCGACTATTCCGACTATTCCTCTTATTGTTTATAATCTCAATTATTCGTGGGTAATGATTCGTGTTAGTTATCGCGAGTGAGAAATCAAGCGTTGGGTAAGGTCGTGGGACAGGTTGACGTGGCTTATAAGAGCGCTTGAGAATAATAATTGGTAGTGATAAAAGTTTGACGATTAATTGAAAATTGATAATTTGAAGAGATGAGATTACCGATGACAAGTGATTTCAAAGTGAAATTTTCTTTGAAAAAATGACAGTGAATATTTTTCATGGATTTTTGTGGTTAATGAATTTTTTTTTTTTTTTTTTTTTTTTTTTTTTTTTTTTTTTTTTTTTTTTTTTTGTTAAGAGCACGAAGTTGGTTATGGTTGCACGTGCGGTCGAATAATGCCAACCCGTTTTCTGCCCGTACTTTACAAGTGTACACTTAACGCTATTTTAAATAGTGTAATGAATATAGGAGAAAATAAATTTCTCCGACTCGTGTGGAAATGCTCGGTGGGTAATTTAATCCTTGTTTCGTGAAAGTTATCATTGACACTGTGCACCGGGCAATTACTTTGAAAGGCTTAGCAACGTTTTTGAAATCTTACGATTCTAACGAGTCTTATCTATTCGTAAGCATCGGTATAATATAATTGGAGTAGTCGCTCGAGAGCAGCGGAAAGTGCACGCGAACCGTACGTGCGGTAGGTTTGGACGGTCGGGGAAGATTGTCAGGGACATAGACGCGAGCGTGTCGAGGCAAATCCGGCGGAACTTGGTATAAATCATGCCCGCGGGCATTCTTTGCAGAGCAGCGCCTCGGCATCCAACGACGTCGAGTGACAGGGATTCGGGCGCATTTATTATGGTGACGCGTACCCACCGCGCAACCATGATATCAGGCGCTCCTCTTGGTTCGCCGAGGGCATCTCGGGTTACCACGGCGTTTAATTACCGCGACGCGTGGGCTTCCGCAGCCACTGTTGCGCGCCATTTGGCTCGATAGGGACGATTGTGAGGTTATATCGGCTTTTCTCTTTTTGCGACTGTTGGTCGCTTAATTTTCTTTTGAAATGGGGCTCGGCGACTGTACGAGGCGGCCGGTTGAAATTGTCGAGCTTGTGGGTTGGTTGCACGTAGACGATTAGCGTGTCGACGAGTCTACGTCCTCACAATTCAAACTGGAATTTGTACTTGGGTATAAATTTATTTCTTATCTTATTTATTTTTTTATTCGCCGTATTTTATTAAAAATAGGAAAATTAGTTTTTTCTCTCCCCCTCCACCCCCCGCCCATTCCCCTCCTCCCCCCAACCCCCATTATATTTACTCGAATAGTTTTTGAATATTAATGAATAATCAAGGTGGGTACGTTAATGCTCGCTTAACCAATGGACTCACCAATGTTAAATCGATGGATTGATAGAATACGATAATCGACATATTTTTGCTTTACTAGAAAATCTTAAATTTAACGCGATTAGCTTAGATCGGATGTATTTTAATACCGACAACGATATTTTTCCACCTACCGCACCTATTTCAATAATATCATATTTATGAAGACGAACATAAGGATAGAAGCGCGGACAAATCAATATTTTAACACGAATTTTATGAATTTTATGGTAGAGGTTCGACGATCGATTGGCGCTTTAGATAAAAAGTTTCGTAGAGGCTTGAAGGGCGAGGACACACTCAGCTGACACCCAGCTAATTGAAAAGTTTGTTCTTTAAATGAAATTACACTAGATTTCGGAGCGCTCGCGTACCCGTCCCATATTCATTGGTCGTTGAATCGTCGAGCTTTTAGCATTTGCAGCGAGTCCAAGGGCACTCGATTGTCGAGCGCGCAAGAAGCCGAGCTGCAGGTAGCAGAGGTTGTCGGTGGTGGTGGCGATGGTAGTGGAGGAATGAAGGCGGGGGCGGAGGCCCTAGTCCGGTGGAGGGGATGCGCGTATTTCGCATGAG